GAGAGCGGAGACGAATCAACAGTGGACGAGTAAGCTGTTAAACATCACGTGACGTGCCGCCGAGAATTCCCGACCTAACAACTAGTGTGAATGTTTAATCCGTTCCAAGTTCCAAGTTTTAGAAGCAAGAGATACAGTGTCACAATAGAGTGTTTAACGGATGAGGGTTAATTTTGTTGTGTAAACGATTATATAAACCGACTGAGAATTAACCCAGCTGCCTTTTTTGTTAAATGTTATGATATTTGTATTTTCACCGGCGGAAGCATTCTTGTCCTTTTTACTTAGTACGGTTCCATCAACTCGATTCAGGACGAAAATTCTATCTTTACTACACCGTGATTAAAGCACACAACGTGAGCAGAGCAGATGAAGGAATGAAGCGGTCAAAAGATAATCAGTTGACCGGCGCCAGTACTCACCAGCGTGGAAAAAACCCTGGATCGAGCCTGGACGTCCCAAACGTGTTATAACAACAACAATGTTGAGAAACCCAGAAAGAAGTACATGTAATATATCCAGGTTAGCACTGAAGCTTGGAATTCATCGCTCGCGTTTGAATATTTGCCATGCAAATGTGATAGAGTAGCCAGAGATGGAGTACTGTGTCAGTAGCTGCGAAGAGGAGAATAAGTCTTTTACCCAGAACACTACGCAAACGATTATTGAAATTTATTAAGGCTGGAAAGTAATTATTGGGAAGCTCCAGCCCACATATGGTAGTAATGCTCCATTTTTGCAATGAATCAAGTCTCTGTCAAATACATCATTGGATATATTTATTTTATTCAGTTGGCTTCCATCGAAGAAAAAGCTTCACCCAGTGTGAGACAACCTCGCTTATTTGACATTCGGGTGAAAAGCTGAAGCTTTTTTAAATATATAATAAGCTTAATTAATATGTAATAATAATTGTCATAAGTCATCATACGCAAGTCTCTTATGAATTATTAATTTGGTTAAGTAGGGATATTACACGGATGAGTAGTAAGCTGATGTTCATCCAAAGGTCGTAGACTATTTGTACTCAGTCTCACTCTACATTCCTAGAATATTAATATAAAAAGTGAGATGCTTAAAGGCCATAAAATACAGTATTCTACTTTTATATGCCATGTCCTTTTAGGATGTGGGTGATTATGACTCACCACAACTTCCTCTTTTGTTGCTTTATGCAACTTTTGACTCCTTACTACCTTTTTTTCTTTGTTCTGATATCCATCCACATAAGCTTTTTTAATTGGTTGTTTCTTCTATGTCTCTCATTTAGCATGTCCTGTGTTTGCGAAATCCTTCAGTCTCTCTTTCCTCCTTATGCATACCAGAAATTTCAGCTGTGTTCATTTTCTGATTGTATCTCTATTAGTTTCATGCAATCTACGTGTTCCTTAAAATTTATTTTTTATTTACACGCGGTCTGTTGTCCACATCTTGGCTGTTGTTTTCATAACGTTTCCGCTAGAGGGCACAACAGCCGAAGCATAATGATAACAACAACAAAGATAGAAACTCTAGATGTTAACAACATGTTAGCCTTATGCTATTTGTGTTTTAGGTGAGGGTGCGTGTTCAATACGTAAACAAAAAAAATGTAGAAGAAGCATACAAAAACTTGGGTTTGTACTACGGACGTTTATTCTTTATTTTATGTTGACTGTAATGAAACAAAATTAAATTTCTCCTGAGTATGTCCGTTTTTTTTAGTTCAGAAATAATTTATGGGAAGTAAGAATAAGAACGGGTAAAATGGTTGAGCTCAATTCAGCCTTATGCTATTTTGGGATGTGACCAAAATCATGAGTGGTTCTGCTAAAACATGCCCGAAGGATTTCGCTGCAAAGTGGAAAGTGAAAGATTCTGTCCTTTCAAGAAGTGGGGCCATAAAATTGCTCACTGACAAGGAACCCTTTACGTTTTTTTTATAACTTACAACATGGAATTTTTTTTACAGTAAGGGGCTCTTGAGTAGAGGGTTACGTTATGGGGTAGTTTATATTGATAGGAGGAGAAGATTTAGACTTGAACAATTTAAGATTGTAGTGATCGGGGAAAACATCCTCTTGAGAGTCTGTTTCACAGGGCAGTGGTTCTTGCTAATGGAATACGGAGGAAATGTAGGGGGTTTGCTGTTATGTAAGTGTCATGGTATATCCTTGCCATGGAGGTTTGAACTGGCGGGACCAGGAATGTAGTTCGTCCGAGCACTTTCCATGGTATTAGCGATTGAGCAGTGAGAGACTCGCCACATCCCGCCTGTGAGGGAGAGGTTAGAGGGTGAATATTCTCCAACAAGGATTCGGGGACGCTTTCGAACTCTATCAGGAGTGGGCAGCTCCTGCCTAATATAGCAACATTTCTCCTTCTTCGGCCTGATGTGGCTCTTATAAAGGTAGAGGATAGCATGAGGAAATATATTTATTTATTTATTATTATTTCTTATTTTATTTGTTGGTTTTATTTCATTTTCACACAAGACAATATTCCGCGCGTAAATAATGATAACTACTCATGCTAGAAGTTCAGACGGTAACTTTATTTTCCTTCTGTTTCATAGTATTTTCCCACGGAATCAAATACGATGTGCCCATAAAATTATCTATAAAAAAAGAAAACAGATTTTAAAACTCTGCTTTTAGTCTGATATTACCAAAATGCGGAAAGAAAGTTTAAATTTGTATATTTCAGCCCTTAGGAATTAAAATTCTCAAAAAATCTGGATTTTTAAAGTAAGAAATTGACACGAAAATAGAATTTAATATGGTTTTGAAATATTAAAAAATAATATTAAAAATATAATAAGCTTCAAATATTATAACAGTAAATGAATGTAAATGCTCATGTTAAATAGTCATATCGATTGATATTTAGTTAGTTCAACACAAAATCATGTGGGAGAAATGAAATGTTACTCTAATCACCCAAAGTGGGTAGACAACCTGCATAGAAAAATCATCATTCGAAATTCAGGTTTTTAACTGAGTTTTAAACATCGATCTCTGGCACCAATTGGGAATACGTAACTATTTCATTCACCAGGCAGACCTCCATAAACAACTATCTCTGTATTTTCTGTCTCGCTTCAGGGTGCGGATGGCCACATCTTCTTGTATTGTGTTACTCCGAGTATCATTATTAAATAGTAGTCATAAAGTCATAGTAGTCATAAACTACTATTTCTCTTAATGGTTCTTGTTTTATGATCAGTTTGGATAAAATAACCAATTTATTGCATTTTTGTTCTGCTACTTTTGTCTTCAGTGTGTCTCCGAAATGTTAATTTTTTTATGTTTCCTTCCTTCATTACATGTCTCTCAAATTTCACCTGTCTCAAAATTCAACTGTTTCAAATTTCACCTGTCTCAAAATTCAACTGTCTCAAATTTCACCTGTCTCAAAATTCAACTGTCTCAAATTTCAACTGTCTCAAATTATCAAGTTTTTTGACTGAAAACTAAGTCAAAAATAAGTCAGCGGCTATTTTTAATCCAACCGAACTGATGCAATATTTCAAATATCATAATTTTATATCCAGACTAGCATTTTCCTAAAGATTAATAGGATTATAAACCAAACAAATATTTATAAATCTTTTTTAACAAAGTTTAAAAGTAAATGCGTGAACTGACAGTTAAAAATCGTAAAATATTGAGCTTAAGACATATAAGATTGATCTTGCCGACTAAAGCATTTCTTCTTCAGTGCCTATTTTAGCTTTTTCCTTTTTTTTTAATTCCAAACATTAGATGCAAATTTATTATTTGATTTCGATATGACTCCACAACACAATTTCTGCCTTTATATTATTTCTTTCTGTCTTGCGAGTCACACTTGGTTAATCGTCTTATTAATATCCGCATGTCGCTTATCAAGAAACACAAGTGGTTCACTAGGGAATAATAAGCTACTTGGAAAAAACTCGAAGTTCGCTGAGGTTTCTCGAACTACGGCTTTGTTTCTCTCTCGGATAAGTCAATAAACACCAACAGGTCATAACAAATAGACTCATCATAGAGAAAATCACTGTCGGTGCGACTGGCAATATTTCTTGGTGAGATGCGTGACGCAATCGACGCGTCTTGGCAACGCTACAACTGTGAAGAATATAAAAAAAATCAATAAGAGAAGAAGAAATGTGCACGTTTTTAAAACCTATATTAGCTTTAAACAATACAAGAAATTTTGGAGAATGAACGTTTCACACGTTGGCTAATTAATTGACTTGAGTAATTAATCATGGCTCATTAATTTATATGGTGTCCAGATTTGTAAAATAAATAGAAATTTCGAAGGAAAGCAAATAATGTAGGTTATAGTGAAAACTATAGGAAGATTTATGAATTAATTAAACACACTTTACAGCATTTTCTCATATCAGATGTTACAGCCACGTAATTTCGTCGTCCCAAATGGCGTTAAGAACTTACGTTTCAATTTTTTTTTCTTAAAATAATAATAAAAAAAGATTAAATAGTGCTGAGAAAAATTGATTAAATACTGAAATTGCCAGCAAAATAATAATTTAAAGCTTGAGAATAATTAAAGTGGCCCTTTGATTACTTACTGAAAGATAATTGAATTTAATTAAATATATTTGATTTCTGGAAAAATTAAAAAGTAATCTGTGTGCAGGACTGACTTGCTATAATATATAAGGCAATTATATTGTAGCCATTAAATCAGCAACACATATCGTATTGATTGAGTGATTTGATTATTTTTGACGACTTATCAACCTTTTGTATGTTATTTAAAACCGAAACAAATTTTGGATTGTAAGAATAATTCTTTTTTGTGAGTGAATATTGTATAAACAGTTTTTTTTTAGATAATAATGATTTTCATATACAAGTTCTGATATTTAACCCATAGATGAGGTGGTGGAGAAGAGATTGATTCATACCTCTCGTAAGGGTATTTGCACGTAATTATAATGGAATTCGAACTCGGCTCTCCGAGTTCACACTTCGAGCTGTTATCTATGCCACCACCCGCTCCTCCAAACACCTTGTATTCCCAAGCGGCCACCCATCTAGGTACTGACCAATCACCACGTTGCTTAACTTCGGTGATCTAACGAGAATCGGTGTTTCAACGTGAATGAGTCATAAGCCTTTATAACAGTTTTAAAAGAAAAGAATAGATGCTTTATTTCTTATTCTTGTTCCATTCTGCTTCTTTAATAATTGTAGAATAACGACACAGTGATTGTAATATAAAGCAATAGAAACAAAACTAAGGAAATACGTGTCGTTTCCATCAAAACATTAACTCAAAAGCGGTTCAGTAAAAATGAAATAAAAGTAAGCGGCAGATTGCGCGACTCACATAGCTTTCAATCAATGTTTGTTTTTACTGGTCTATGCAGGGTCACAAACTCACATCTATCCAACCAAGGGTCACAAACTCACATCTATCCAACCAAATATGTTAGCTCTATCTCTGATATTGAGCGCTTTCTAATAAGTACCGCGCATATAATATATAAATATTTATACATATGTATATATTTGTTTATATTTATATGCACTTTTCACACACACACACACACACACACACACACACACACACACACACACACACACACACACACACACACATATATATATATATATATATATATTTGAAGGGCAGTTGTCTGTATGTGTGTGTATTCAGCTAAAACTAAAGAAAAACTACAGTAATTTACGACAAAATAAACGTATATACAGAATCAATATCACCCAATCCAGCTTTTTGTAAATAAATTATGATCGTATGATTTGTATTTACGAAGATATTTTAAAATTAAAATGAATTAGAATGCATTTGGAATTCTCAGAATTAAAACGTGTAAACGAACGGTAATAATTCTTATACATTGTGGGTTGTTGTTCTGGTCGACTAAAAGCTGTTACATTTTTTTTTAACCATTTTTTTATAGTTACAAGATCTTGTGACTTGTTATCACGTGATCACTGAAGTGATTATGAAGGAAATGTTTTTTTCCTCATTTTTTATCCTTTGTCATACTACGCAAGTTATCTGACCGAGAAGCTACGTCACAGATGTATGCATTTTTTTCGCAAAATTTCAAGAAAATCACAACCCAAGAAAATAAAAAATCCGTGACCGTGCAAGGCCAGGGAAATGAGAAAAGCAACCTTAAGTTGCGAAAGATAATATCTACTTCCCCGACGTAGCTTACCCGGGTAAGTACCTTACTCCTGCCACCTGAACCGTGATTTTTTCCACAGAAAAAACAAAAAACCCCAAAAAACTACCAAATCGTAAGAGATGTATTTCAAAATTTGCGGGCTTAGTAGAACGAGTAGTAAGCGGTGGCGGGCCTTTCAGTTGGAAGCAAAGATGGGTGTACAGTATATAAAATACGATACATTAGCGCGTGCGTTAGAAAATAGATGTGAGAAATGTATAATTTTTTTATTTTGGTTAATATATTTATTAAGTATATATTTATTTATGCCATATATACATGTTTATATTATTTACATTATGATCATACATACTGTTACTATAGTGGTTTTATAAATAAAAAATAATCCCTTCCCATCTAAAGACACCCTCCCACTATTAGTTCGTTGGTGAGAGGTTTCTTTCTATACTATCACCTTAAAAGGACAGTTGACTCACTATCACCTTAAAAGGACAGTTGTCTGTATGTGTGTGTATGTGCATTATTGACTTATGGAAAAATATTTTTTATTCAAATTTTAAAAATAAATTTCATTGTTTTTTGGCTTGGAACCAACATAAAAAGTAAATAATTTTCAATTAAGTTTGATTAAAGCAAAAAACTATAGCGAGTCTTATTTTTCGAAAATTAATTTAAATAAAATATAGTTAATTCATAAAACAAATATTCAACACGACTAATGTTAACTGTAACTCATGTCTGTCTCTCCTAATTTTTATTTATTTATTTTTTCTTTTCAAATAAAAATATAACTTGAAATTTAAACATAGTCGCTTTTCAAAACTAAATTCTCAATGTATCTGACTTCTACTGTCTTTCAAAATAGTAACTAAATTAATTTACGGAGAAATGTTTGTTGCTTTATTGTAATGTTTAAAAGTAAAACTTTATTTACTTAAAGACATCTAAATAAGCATATTAAATTTAATCATTTTTTCAAGCAAAAACTATAGCGAGACTTTCGAAAAATAATTATTATTTTACTCTCATATCACCAACCTCACGTTTGACGTCTTTGACCAACATTGCAGATATACCTCCTACATAATGGTAAGACATTAGTTGCAATGGTGTCATCATGTAGCTAATGTCTTGCCATTATATTGGAGGCATATGTGGACGGCATTTCCGTTTGCTACAATTTACTCAATATTAAATATAAAGGTAATGTAAGTGGATTACAGTAAACGAACACATATACAAATCAATAAAAGCACAATTTCCAAATAATGAGCGTATCGATTGTATTCAGAACCAATCTTAATAAACTGTGTATCTTTACTGGACGTTAACAAAAGTCTGTAAATTCCTCTTCCCACAGTCATACAGATGTTGAATACCATAGTTGTCACATTGCTTTGGCTGATGTGAAATGTTCAATGACGGACGACATAATGGACAGTGAAGTTATTGAATATCTTGTATTTGAGTAGCATAGACATTACAACAGCCGGCATTTTCCTATTGCCGCAGCACTCTACCTTCCTTTTGCAAGAATGGCAGCAGAAAGAGTTGAACAATATTTTGAATGCACATGGTGACAATGAATCTTCCTTCCACAAAAACCAAAGGCAAGCGATAGTTATAAATGTTGGGTCTGTGTCGTGGGTGATTATACGCCGTTAGCCCTCGCTCTATAACAGCGACCATCTTTTGCATCAAGACAGACTTTGATCTTATCGACGGACTATATGTTACTCCAGACGACACTCCCCTGCCATTATTGAAGACGTTCATGATATTGTGGCGTAAGTAGAAGTGAGGCTATGGGTGCCTGTAATCCTGTTGCAATTATACGATTTCCAACATTCTGTTTTGACACTTCTTGTGCAACATTTACTCTTATCTGTGCAGGGAATTATGTGCAGTCTGTCACTGCTGTCAATCTTGGCGTGCCTCTGTTCTACATCACCGTTCAGAACCAGGTTTAGCAGTTTAGTTTAGGTGATTCACACTCTTTACACTCAAAATTCGTATTTCTTTGGACAGTCTGTTCGACCAAGACATGTCTCTTTGTAAACGATTATAGTTTCTCAAAGGCTGTAATCGACTTATTTAGTGCAGTTGATATTTACAGGCCTATAGTTTTTATATTTATGCAGTCAGAAAGCCGTCAGGTTTTATTGTGAGCTAGACATTTGAAGATGCAAATCACATTACCCTGATTTCGAAGCGATCTGACGTTTTGGATCTTTTTCTGTGGTTAAGAGCGTTGTCACCAATTTTCTGTTTTTATTGTACTACTACTATTAATACTACTTCCAGTTTTTTTTACTTCAGTAACTTGCTTAAGTGTTAACACCATGACAGTTAACTGCAAACTGAGATGCTTATTATAGATGAGCGTGCTTATCTTTTTTGTTATAGTTATAGCGTTTCGGCTACTCTTCCCCCCCCCCGGCATTCTTCAAGTGTCTGCCAGGAAATTCGTTGATTGAGATGATAACAACGAAAAAGAGAGCACTAGTGCTTATAAGTCAGTGCATAGTAAGGATAATTTCTCATCTAAACAATGAGATAAAAGTTGTTAGCTGGAATGCAATTAATGTGCAATTTAATCGCCTTTCCAAAACCAATTACACTCGATTTTTTTAGTGAATTGTAAAAAATAAAACAATATTTAATTGATAAATTGGGCATATAAAGAAAATTCAGGTTCTGTCTGTATAGTTCTAAAAGCATTCTGACAACTACATTGAAAATAAGAATATTTTATTTGCTATATCGATACATACTAATCCGACACGGAAATGTTTAGTTTGGCATGGGAGACAATTTACACAACGTTTAGTTATTCTTGCTGCAATTTCTTCCGAATGAAGCGCGTTAAAACAACTAACCTCAGTAAATTCGCAAAATATTTTTGTAAACAGATTTTTTTGTTTGCATATGCATTCATTTTTATTTCTTACTAATGATTAATACATGAAATGTCTGTTTTTTAGAGTTGTATCATGCTTTCAGTTACCAAGATTGTTTATCTCGTTGGAAGAATTGGATATAAAAAAGATAAAAGTAAACATAGTTAAAAAAAAAATGATTTTCCTCACTTAAGAAAAAGACAGGAAAATAAAGCTATGAACCGTTATAATTTAATCGATGCGACCAATCGGGTGGTTTCACAAGTTGTTATATACTAGGTTTGGCACAAGGATAGCATTTTAGAGCACCATTGAGTATCGGAATCACTTATAATGGTGTAACCATTACATTACGTCTAAGTTTCAAAGGAATTTATAAATTAATGCATGGAAAATTAAGATCAGACGCCCAAGAGTTTTAGTATTGACACAGTTTGTATAATTTGGGGTCATACCTGGTTCTCAAGGTGTCAAGAATTGAAAATAAAAAAATCAACTAATCCAACCCAATCAAACCTAACCCATTTTCGTGGTGCGAACAGGCACCAAAAATTTCTCGGTCAGACGATAAAAACCTTTAAAAAATCTATGGTTACTTCATTTTATCAGATTTTAGAAATTGGTGCAGGCACAGAAATTTTCAGGATCCATCGTATCAACTAGTAATAAAGACACATAGTTTATCAGGAAAAACAAATTCATTGTTTTAATGTTTCTTGTAAGAAGGATTTTGAATTCAATAACTTAGATGGAACTTTACACAATTCCTCATTCAGCGTGTTTGTTGACAATCCTTTTTTAAGTGTTTCTGTGGGGTCCAAATTTTATTCTTACATGACCAATCAAACCAGCTTAAAACTGGTCCTAGTGCCAAATTTAATCGTAAAATATATTCTATACAATTCTGTGGAAAACATTGGTTACAGATATACATGAAAAAATTAATGTAATTATCGCTCAAAATATCAACGTTCTTTTTCACTTTGAATTCAGAGTGAAAAAGAACATTGATATTTTACGGTTTGAGTAACAAAGGAAAG